GGTAAACATTAATCTTTCTTAAAATAACCTTAACATTCCACTTCCTGTACCGGTTCACACTTTCATCTTCCCTCACTGACGTTATACGCCCTCAAGGGACTTGGAACGACTATTATAAAATAAACTGTGTTTCTCTAACAAAGAAAAGTTATACTAAAGAGGACACTTAAAACTGTCAAACTTATTTCCATATAAACTTCTTAATTTAATTTTGTATTTAACTCACTAAAACCTTGTGAAATAAACAGAAAAACATGGCCGTAGCAGAAGAGTTAAGATTGGGCTTGATAAATATTTGAATGATAAGGGCTGGGTTTGAGTTTTTTAATGTTTAGTTTACTTTAGTGGATAGGATGGCCTTGATGGACCAAAAGGCCCAATGTTGTCCTTTACTGTTATGTCGCATGTTAATTTTTCACCCACAAGAAACATCAGTGTACAGGCAGTAACCTACTCCAGAAACTAATATTATACTCTATGGTTAAGGTGATCAGCTGTACTGAAAATATGAAAGTCTAACAGTTTTCATCAATATAACACACAATCACTAGTCAATAACCTAGTCCAGAAACTGGAAACTTAAACTTTAGGGTAACAATTATTACTTAATCTTACTGAAAATATAAAATATTAACAGTGTTAATCAAACTAAACTTTACCTTTTCCATAGAGAATAGCTGTCAACAGTTTAACTGTAGCACTGTTAGTGTTAACACAACTTCGTTTTTTACGTTGGTTAATTACAATAAAATAAAGTCTTTCTCTTTTCTGACTAGACCTAAAGAGTAAAAGAAAGTAGTGAAAAAATAAATACATTCCATTATACCTCTACGCATATATCACTCAAATGTAAACCAATCAATTCTTTTTTCAAAGTTCTGACTACTCACTTTAATATTAACTTCTGATCATAGCAAGCTATCTATTTAAAGCAAAACAAAATTAATTTACTAATGAATATAGATAATTGGGTATATTTTTCTTACATTCATATTTATAAAGATTAAATAGAACGAATTATTTCATCAGCTGGATAACCCTGTTGTTAGTGTTAACAACTTATTCCTTAGGCCTTAAACTTACAACGAGGTTTGATCAGCTAAGAATTATTTGTAAGCTAGGCCTAAGACGATATAACATACAAGTACAAAATAATTTTAAATATAAGTAAAACAATAAAATCAGATATTTTACACATTCTAAATAATACTATTAATGGAAGTAATATAAAATAAATATTACAGTATTGACAAAATGTTATTCATGAACATCTAGTAAACTACAATAATATTAATACCCAACCATTATAATTAATCCTCTTCGTAAAGCTTCCATCAGCGGAAGTGTGCGGGACGCAGTGAAGAACAAGAGGCTTGACAAAAGTACTCAATTTCTTTTTTTTATATATATTTATTTATTGCTATAAAAGTAACTAAATTGTAAAAATTAGAAATTTATGTTAAGTAATAAATTAGAAATTAAATACACAAATAAAAATTCTGAGTGACGTCTTCACGCGAGATGCTCGTGGACTACGTAATGTGAGTTGCGCAGTTGACGCGCAATTTGTTTTTTGTAGGAAGAATTAGTACCGAAACATGATTCACGGAGAAATAAAATAAAATAGATGTGAAAAGAATAGAAGATTGAACATTTTAGGATAAATAATTTTAATTGTCTCTTAAAACCAGTAGTATGCTACAAAGAAAAAGAATGATCATTTAGATTTATTTCGTATTTTTTATGGTGTTTACAAGGTAGGTCAAAAGGACCGATTCTGTAAACGGTAAAGGGTAGAAAAAATAACAGACAAAATATGTTTTAAAGAAAAAATTGGGTGTTAATTTAGAAGATAATAAAAGTAGTTTTAATCTTAACATGAAAAGCACCTAGCACTCAGACTAGTCAGTCAGTCTGGCCCAGCACTTAATGTACATCTTCACACAGTTAAAACCTGAAAGTATCATGTTCTACTAGAATGATCCAGTACTTAATGTACATCTTCACACAGTTAAAACCTGAAAGTATCATGTTCTACTAGAATGATCCAGTACTTAATGTACATCTTCACACAGTTAAAACCTGAAAGTATCATGTTCTAC